ATGAAGCATTCTAAGTAAAGGTCTTGGGAGACTTACAAATGGCCTAATTAATCACACAGAAGGAAAAAAGACCCAAGATCCAAAAGAATTTGTTTATCAATAAAACTGGAGACTTTTGCCATAGCAACTTTGTTTTCTTCACCATTAGCCCTAAATTAACAATGAATTCAGAAATGGCTGTAGCAGTACATAGATAGGGAACTGCCAAAAATTCAAGCCGGATTCAGAAGAGGATGTAGAATGAGGGATATCAGTGTTGATGTCAAATGGAACTTGAATGAAGCAGAGGATATCAGAAGGATGTTTGCCTGTGCTTTATTGACTATGCAAAGATATCCGATTGTGTGGATCATAATAAGTTATAGAAGAATTGCAGAGAACTTAGTTGAGCCCATGCAGAATCTGAACATAGGCCAAGGTGCAGTCATTTGAGCACAATGAGGGGATACTGCATGATTTAAAATCAGGAAAGGTGTGCATCAGGGTTCTAGCCCTTTACCATACTTGTTCAATCTGTGTGCTGAGCATATAATCCAAGAAGCTGGACTATATGAAGAAGAACATGGCATCAGGATTGGCAGAAGGCTTTTGAACAACCTGTGATATGCAGATGATGCAACCTTGTTTTCCTAAAGTGAGAAGGACTTGAAGCACTTATTGATGAAGATCAAAGACTACAGCCTTCATCATGGATTGGACCTCAACATAAAGAAAACAAACATCCTCACAATTGGACCAATAAGCAACATCATGATAAATGGAGAAAAGATTGAAGTTGTTGAGAATTTCGTTTTACTTGGATCCACAATCAACAGCAATGGTAGCAGCAAACAAGAAATCAAATGATGTATTGCAAATCTTCTGCAAAAGGTCTGTTTGAGGTGTTAAAAAACAAAGATGTCATTTGGCTTGATACAAGGCATGTTTTTTTTTAATTGCCTCATAAGCACGCAAAAGGTGGGTGATGAACAAGGAAGAAAATCAAGAATTGATGCCATGGACTGCCTGAAAAACGAGTAACTGTGTCTTGGAGAAAGTACAACCAGAATGCACCTGAGAAGCAAGGAGGCAAGACTTCGTCCCACACACTGTGGACATGTTATCATGAAGGACCCATCCCTGGAGGACGTCATGCTTGGTAAAGCAGAGGGTCAGTGACAAAGAGGAAGAGATGCATTGACACAGTGGCCGCAACTTTGGGCTCAAACACAGCAACAGGTGTGAGGATGGTGCAGGATCAGGCAGAGTTTCACTCTATTGTGTGTGGGGTCGCTGCGAGTCAGAACCATCCTGACGGCTCCCGACAACCACCACCACCACTGCAGCATATCTCTAGAGCTATTGGCTTTTGATGAAAAGGGCAGGTTGTCTGGATCCGGGTGATGAAGGCAGCCATCAGGGCAAGGAGTCCATCAGGATAACCTCTGGTGCTCTCTGGACCATTATCACCCCGAGAGCTTTCCAGGAAGAAATAGCACCACCAAGAAGACCCAGGTATCAAAGATTCCAGACTGCTTCAGACATCTTCCTATTGGAAGAAGTGGAACCAGCCATAGAAACTCAGAGAACAAATTTCCACAGACTTTCATTTCTCACGTTGTTCTTAGACTGCTGTGTTTTGGGGCTTGTCTGTCTCAAATGAGAATCGGGTGGGGTTTTGTTTTGTTTTAATTTTTCACTCTAAGACGATTCTTGGTTGACAGCAGCGTGAAAGCTGCCAGGCCCATGCCTGGGGATTGAGAAGCAATAGGGCGCAATGGGGACGGGATGAGCGCAGTCCACTAAGGGGTGACTACAGCACAGTGCTGGTGTAGGCTAACTCCAGGACAGGAGGACATCTGTAGCTCAACTGATGTGTGACTAACAATTAACAAATGTGTGACTAATGGTTGCTGTTTCCCTAAACTTCCCCTGCATGAAGCCCTTCTCATTGTCTGTACTCCAGAGAGCACTTTGTAATTTTGCAAACTGTTGCCCAACTGCAGTTGTAATAGTCCTTCAATAAATCCTCTTACTTGTGTTTTAACAGAGGATGCATTCTTATTCTTTGACAATGTTCAGAGAGTTGTGCAGCCATTACTGCTGTATGGTTTTAGAACATTTTCACCACCCCACAAAGACATCCTTATAGACTAATTGAGTCACTCCCCACTCTCCCCTTCCCACAACCCCTAGAAACCACTCATCTACTTCTTGCCCCTGGATTTTCCCATTCTGGACATTCCTTATAAACAGAATCAAACAGGATCTGTGGCCTTTTGTGACTGGCTTACTTCACTTAGCCCAATGTTTTCAGATGCTATCCATGTTGTAACTTGCATGTATCAATACCTCATTCCTTTCTATTGCTGAATAACGTTACATCCTATGGATATATCACACTGTGTTCATCCATTCATCCACGGATGGTCATTTGGGTTCTTTCTACTTTTTGGCTATCAAGAATGATGCTGCTATGAACATTTGTATACATGTTTCTATGTGAAGATGTGTTTTTACTACTCTTTGGTGCATGCCTGGGAGTGGAGGTGCTGAGTCAAGTGGAAACTCTATGTTTCACTTTCTGAGTGACCACCACACTGTTTTGCAGAGCGGCTGAGCCAGCTTCCATTCCCACCAACACCTTGTGAGGGTTCCTATTTCTCCACCTAGTGGCCAACATTTGTTAATATCTGACTTTCATGTAGCCATCCTAGTGGGTACGAGGTGCTATCTCATTGTAGTTTCAATTTACATTTCAGGATGGCTAATAATGTTGAGTGTATTTGTCACAGAGAGTGGCAGTCACATGACATGAAGTTGTAAGCCCCAACCTTGCTGTGCTTCACGGAGGCAACGCAGCCCATCTCCCTCCCTTGCTGGAACTGGCCTCCCTAATGACAGAGAAATACCAGTCCACTATGGACCAGGTTAGAACTTCCTCTTAGAGCTGAATACGCCCTGAATCTCTCTGGGGACTTTCACTCAGCAACAATGTGTCCCTGGGGCAGGAGGTGGCAGCCCAGGCCACCTGCAGCTCTGGGGACACCTGCCATCTCTAAACACTGCTAGTCAATGCAAGAGGGGCTCAGGAAGCTCTTGACTCTTGTCCCCTCATGGGGCCTCTCTCTAGACACAGTGACCAGGAGACTTGAGCACAGCTGTTCTGCTTGCAGGGTCTCTGGGGACTCACTGACCCTTCCCTGAAGTCCTCAGATGAGGCTTCACATCTGTTACCCTTGGCCTGGGGGGCAGGCCAAGGGGCCAAAGTAACAGGAGATGGAACTTTTAATGGCCCTGGGATTTAGTGGCTGCCCAGTCCTGGCCCCAAGCTCCAGATGTCTGGCCTTCCTCTGAGGCTGGGATGGACCCAGGTGTGTCCCTGGCCCCAGGCTGGGTAGGGAGGGGTGAACTCCCAGATAAAAGCCCTAGTCTTCCTCAGGCTTGGCCCCACACAGGGGCTATAGGTGCCTTTGGTGGCTGGGTCCACCCTCTCAGGCATGTGGCTGTGGTCCCTGCTCCCTGCCTTCATAGGGTTCCTCTCAGGGACCACACTTTCTGGGTCAAAAAGCTGGTGGTCGTTGGGGAAGAGGCCCCGCTTTGAACAACCTGGGGACGTGGTGATCGGGGGTAGTTTCACCATCATCCACCTCAACCAATTCACCTCGATTGAGTTTACTGCCCCACCAGCCCAGATGGCATCTTTAAAGTAAGTGGTTGCTGGAGTGGTTGGTTGGGAGCCTCAGGAGGCTGAGGGCACCGTCCGAGGTTTTCCCCTAACACCTCAGACAGTTGTTGATTCTCAGAATCCCAACTGCATGGGCAGAGTTCCTTCTGTTTGTCTGAATGCTCATGTCTGTCTCCCAGTCCCTGCCTCCCCAGGTCTCCTGGCTTCGTTTCCTTGGTTATACTGTCTCTGTCTAAACATGGGCTAATTCATTGGCAGCAGTGTTGTCCCTACCCCACGGATCTACAATGCTTTTCTCTCTTGTTCGCTGTCAGACACTCAGTGTCTAGAACAGCACCAGGCACACAGTCATCCAATAAATGTTTGCTGAGCGGCAACACTTCATGTACCGATCAGCCCCTGGTCCCCTTCTGCCCATCGCCCACTTGCTCCAGGCACCCTTTTCTGTCCTGGGTTTCTTGACAGTCTTTGCCAACAGGACTCACTGACATAGTCCTTTCTGGTGATTATGAACAATGCTGCTATGAATGCTCATGTACAAGGTTCTGTGTGGACGTGTGTCTTCCTTCCTCTTGGTATATACCTAGGAATCACCAATGACATTCTGTTCTCTTCTGTCTAATGAGGAAAATCTGACCAATGTAATAATCTGAAGTTTTATTTGGTGTATAGATCCATGGATGGGCAGCACCTTCCTGTGTCTAGAAAAAGCGCTCCCCAACAAAGACAGGCTAGGGGTTACATCGATAACAGGAAATGGGACAGGGGATAGAACACAGTGTTTTTTCTTTTTCTGCTCATGCTTTGACACCAAAGCTGCTAGTTTATTTTATCATTCATTTGTCAAGTCAGGCCAAAGGCTAGATGTACAGAGCAGCTCATTAGAAGGAGCAGAGAGTCAAGTCAGAACACCAGCGCACATACCCGGATCAGAGCTGTGCGTCAGCAGAAATGTCTGTGTCTACCAAGGAGGCAAAGGAGTCGGGGCTTTTGTGTGTGAGATCCTTGTGTGAAGTGGTCTGAGCCCTTGTTGAGGGTGCTGTGAGCCGTCCAGTCGATTCTGACTCGTGGAGACACCATGAGACAGAGCAGAAATGCCCAACGGGGTTTTCTAGGCCGTGATCTTTGCAGGAGCAGATCATCAAGGTTTGGTCCTGCGGATCCTGGGAGGTTTTGAACTGCTGATCTTCTGGTGAGCAGTCAAGTACTTAACCATTGAGTCACCAGGGCTCCTTTGTCCAAGCCCTAGTTCCAGGGACTCTGGAGAAGGAAGGAAAGATTTCACACCGGCAGCAAACGCTGAGCCCAGACATCTCTCTCCCTCAGCCTTTCCATGTGGGGCTACCGTTTGGCCCAGGGATTTGTCTTTGCCATCGAGGAGATCAACAGGGACTCCCGCCTGCTGCCCAACCTCACGCTAGGCTTCTCCATCTGGAATTCTGGGGACTCGGTGTCCAGAGCCCTCCAGGAGGCCATGGGCTTCCTCACAGGCCAGGAGGAGCCAATTCCCAACTATGTGTGTCAGGCCAGCCCTCCCAGAGCTGCCCTGGTTGGAGACTCACGCTCTGCCCTGTCCATCCCCCTGGCCAGGCTGCTGGGACTCTACAAGTTCCCCCAGGTGAGTCTCCTTTGCCAAAGCCTCTTCCCCTCACTAACAACAATGATGGCAACACCGCCAGTGATGGTGACATTGAGCCATCGATGTCAATCAAACCCTGCTCCATAGGGTTTCCAAGGTTGTGACATTGATGCTTCCATGGGGCCAGGTTCCCAGCTAACACTTTGCAGGCGTAAGAATATTCTCATGCACTGCAAAAATAAAAATAAAGAATAATCAGATATAAATAAAACATAACCCCCCCAAAAAAAAAAAAGAAAAGAATATTCTCATGTCTTCTGTTGAGGGAACTATAATCCCCATTGCACTGTTGAAGAAACAGGTGTAGAGGAAGTCCAACTCACCCAGCCAGGAGGAGCTGGAGCTGGGATTGGAACCTAGGCAGTCAGGCCCAGGGCCAACTAACTTCACTGCAACCCCCTGATGTTTTTGGAGCTTTCAGGGGTTTGGGGCCATTCCCATGATGGTTTTCTAAAGTGCCTTCTTTTCTTCTACTTTTCGTTTAAACCAGCTCAGATTTCTAGGGGTTTTATTAAGGTACTTTTCTCATGCCGTAAGATTTACCCTGTGCAAGTACGTAGCCAAGTGGTTTTTAGTACTTTCACAGAATTGTGCAACCATTAAAAAAAAACAACTCACTGCCATGAAGTCGATTCAACTCATAGTGACCCCTCCTTGGCTTTTCGAGGTAGTGTCTCCACAGAAGTAGATTGGCCAAGGAGTGGTTGGTGCTTAGCAGTCACTATGCCACCAGAGCTACAGTCTAATTCTTTCATTCCCAAAAGGGAATCCTGTGCTCACTGGCTGTCATGTTCCAGCCTTCTCATCCCTCCCAAGCCCTGGGAAACCACTAATCTACTTTCTTTCTCTATGGATTGGCCTGTTCTGGCCATCCTACATCAATGGAATCATACAATATGTAGCCTTTAGTATCTGGCGTCCTTCACTTGGCATGATGTTGTCAAGGTTCACCTACATTGTAGAGTGTAGCAGTCCCCATTCCTTTGTATTGCTGAGTAATTTGTGATTGTGCACACACTCACGTGCCCCCTGGTGGACACTGGGTTGTTTCCACTTTGGGCCATTATGAACAATGTCAGTATCAGTATTCATCTGCGATATTTTTTTCTGCACACGTGCTCTCCCTTCTCTCGGGTATACGCCTAGGAGAGGAATTGCTGTGTCACACGGTAACTCTGTGCTTTACCTGTTGAGGAACTACCAGGTGTTTTCAAAGCGGCTGCACAATTTACATTCCCAGCAGCATGCGTATGAGTTCCCGTGCGTGAGAGTTCCCATATAACTCCATTTCTCTTAAACTTTAAAGTATGTTTTTACACAGGAAGCATTGTGTCTGGGTTGTAAATGGGCCATTGGTCATCACCCACCACATATTCAAGGCAACCTTCGAATAAGGCACTGAGCATAAAGCTGAGCTGTGACTTTGGAGCTAAACCCTTGGTTTCTGGATCTGTACTCTGGGCTCTTTGTCACGAAGGAAAGTGGGAAGAGTTTGCACTCTTTGGTTCTTTCCTGCAAGCTAAGCACATTAGCATTGGAGATGATAGCGACCCTGTGTGTGCAGAGTAGACTGCTCCATAGGGCTTCCAGGGTTGTTCACCAGGTCTTACCTCTGAGGAGGCTTGGAGTGGGTTTGAACTGCCAACCTTTGGGGGCAGTGGTCCAATGCTTTATCTTTTGTGCCATCAGGGACTCCAGGGACACTTTGTACTACACAATATAAGAAAAAAAAAATCAAACTTTGTTGCTGTCAACTCAATTCTGATTCATGGTGACCCCATGTGCTACAAGGTAGACCTGTTCCATTGGGTTTTCTTGGGTGACCTTTACAAAATCAGACATTCGGGTCTTTCTTCCATGGCACTTCTGGGTGAGTTTGAACTGCAACCTTTAGATAAGTTGTTGTTATTTGCCGTCGAGTCGAACCCGACTCATAGCGACCCCTCCTTGGGTTTCTGAGGCAGTATCTCTACAGAAGTAGATTGCCAAATACAAATTGTTCACACCAAAGGGACCTGGCAACAGAGCAGCAGCTGCTGATTTTTCTTGAGAGACGACCACGTATCAGGCTTTGCTCTAATTAGGGTGACCAACTGAACTTGTTGCCCAGGACTGAGGGTGTTCTTGGCCTTTTGCTGCTAAAATGAGGAAATTCCTGAGGATGTGTTGTTTCCTAGCTGTATTCATGTACTTTCCTTCCCTCATTTAAACCTGACAATCACTCCTTGAGTGATTTTCACTCCAGGGTCTTTCCTCATGCTCACCTCTTACCTTATTGCTCTGCCCCTTCCTGCCCAGGTCAGCTACGCATCCACTCTAGCCAGCCTCAGTGACAAGACCCAGTTCCCTTCCTTCCTGAGGACCGTGGCCAGTGACCTCACGTGCTCCTACATGGTGGCCCAGCTGGTGCTCCATTTCAGATGGTTCTGGGTGGGTGTTCTGGCCCAGGATGATGATCACGGCCAGCAGGGCAGTGCTCTGGTGACCTGGGAGCTGGTTCAGGCTGGTGTCTGTATTGAGTTCCACCTGCTTGTCCCCTCCAAGCATTCCCTGGAGAAGACCCAAGCCATCATCCGCAAGATGGAAGTCGGCACAGCAAAGAACATTTTGGTCTTCCTAAGCAATTCAAATTTCCACCTTGTTCTTCAGGGGCTGCTGGGCAGGGGGGTCTTGGGCCGGGTGTGGGTCAGCCAGGACACACTACACAGTGTGCTGGCCCTGGCCATCCCAGGCATCTCACAGGTCTTGCAGTGCTCCTTCAGCCTTATGCCACACCACAAACAGGTCTCCGGCTTCCCAGAATTCCTTGCTCACCTGCATCCCACACGGAATCCAGGAGACATCTTCACCAAGAGGTTCTGGGAGGTGACCTTTGGATGCACATGGCCCCACAGTAGCCTAAGACCAGCGGGGAACAGTACGGCTACAGGAGGGGTTCGGTTCTGCTTGGGGAATGAGAGTCTAAGAGGCCTGGAGTACCCTTTCCAGAACGTGAGTAATGTGGATGTTGCATACTCAGCAGTCTACAGTATTGCCCATGCTCTGCAGGATCTGGTAAGCTGTGAGCATGGCAATGGACCATGTGCAGACACGCACAACTTCCAGCCCTGGCAGGTGAGAGAGATTGGATGTGGGTGACTCAGGGGAGAATGGGGAGTGGGGCATTTGCTCTGTGCCAAATATGGAGGTACAACACAGACCTCTTTGGCAAGAATGATTCATGTTTATGGCCAGTAACCATCTTAGGAACAGCCCCTCTGACTGTGACCTCAGTGAGTCACTTTCGTGTAAGATGACTTGACTTAGCCCAACAGGACACACAATTAAATTTGAATTTCAGATAAACACCCAACAACTGTTCATTACATGTACCCCAAATTTCAATTTCAAACAAATTATGAATTCTTTTTTTACATTAATACTTTTTTAGTTTAAGTGTATCTCAAATTTAAATTTCAACTAAATGTGAATTTTTATTTTTATTTTTTTAGTATATGTCTCCAAACTTGAATTGCAGATGAACAATTTAGGATTTTTTTAGTATAAATTTATCCCAAACATTGCACGTTGTTGTTGTTGTTGTTAAGTGCCGTCGAGTCGCTTCCGACTCATAGCGACCCCATGCACAGCAGAACGAAACACTGCCCGATCCCGTGCCAGCCCCACAATCCCTGCTATACTCGAGCCCATCAT